CTGCGAGACACGTCAATTGAATAACTTGTCGATAGAGACAATGAAAGTTTTCGTTTTACTTCTTATCGAACACGATTCATTATCTCATAGATCTGTATAAACATTCATTACATATAACTAAAATTTTTTTTCGAACAGAAATTTATCGAATCCCTTGATTTATTTGACCAAGATTGGTGCATATCCGAATGAAGAATTGAACAAGTTAACTAAAAATCAATTTACCACACAATTGATCTCAAGTTTTGTTTTTGCTCAAATCAATCTACATAATACAGTTCATGAAAAGAGACGATTTCGAAATAATTCAGTCAAACGTTCTATGTCATTCAAATTTCATATAAAAAATCCCTTTCAAGATTTATTAACAAGAAATAATATGATTTAAAATCAACGCATAATTGATTCGCTCTCAACTAAAGATCTCAATTTGAATGATTTTGTAACTCATGATGATCTGCAAAAATGGTTAGATACCTTATTGACTTTAACATCTACTAATAATGACATATTCGAACAGATGGCAATTCGTATAGAAGCATCGAAGGGCATTGCATGTATTCTCTATACATACTGCACTTCGTTTCTAGAGAAATTAACCTTTACTCATCAACAATTGATTGATAATAAACATTCGATATTGATTAAACAACTCTTAATTGATTTAAATCGTAATGAAATATTGTTATGTGGATATCTTAATATTCAATATCATCTTTTGAAAATTCAATCAAGAACGATGACATGATTAGTCAATCAAAACTGTCAACAGTTTCTCTTATTACGAAATATGTTACGCATATATTGACAAATGAGAATAGCAAACCAAATGATTTATTGAATTCGGTTCTCATTGGTCTATGTTTAATGTTAGAAAAAGAAAATCAATGCAATTCCATTATCATTCAACAAATGTTAATCACAATTTTACCTTTACTAGCCGAATTCATATTAAAAAATATAAATAATGATGAAACAAAAGAAACTTATTTCTATTTTAATTATTGTCTATCAGGTAAAATGAGGCATTTTTTAATCAATGGTTCATTAAAAGATCCCTTTGAAATAAAATATGATGAGCAATTAACATCAACATTGTTTGCTCGTGGATGTGAAAAAATATTTAGAATGATTGACTATCAACAAGACATAAAAATCGATTATGAATCTTTAATGTCGATCTATAACAATATGGGTGATGGTGGACAATTAATAGCAAAAATAAGAAAGTATGCAGAAAATAAACAATATGTTATACAAAAGTCAATCGAAAAACAAGTTAATGATGCATGTGCTGGATTATTTGCGATCTATATAAAATATTATCGTCGAATAAATTTAGATAAATATGAATAATCGCGAATGGATAAGGAAAAACCTCATCGTCAACTTTTATCTCTTTTTAATTATCCTAATCGTATTCAAACAGTTTTTGCTCGTATATGAGTCGAAGGTGGTGATTGTAACGAATTGTATAATCAAATTCGAAATAAAACCTATTTTCTCTTATTATCGGTCAAAAAAAGTCATTTAATTCCCATAGTTGATATACATGAAACAATAACTAATGATAATGAAGAGAACAAATTAAAATTGAAAAATTCTTATTCACGATGGAATATGGCAAAGAAATCGTTTTAATTACTTCATCATACTCTACAAGCTTCTATTCGATTCAAAAAATTGATGTTTATAATTAAAAAAGTAATTGAATAAAAAATAAAACAATGAAAATATTTTAAGTCAAGCTATTGATACTTATGTCTATGGTAATTCATCAAATTATGATAAAAATTGCGAATCAGATGATCTTATTCGATGTATGTCTCGACAATATGAGCGAACCATAACTCGATTAATAATATATCGATTAATTGAATTGTTCATTCAAAAAATGATACAAATTGATGATAAAAAGAATCGCATTCCAAGTTTTCTAACAATTTATTTATCATATTTGAGAAATAGCAACATTGAATGGACCTATTTAGAAAATATTCCTGCAATAAATAATCAATTAAAAGAAAATATTGGAAATAATTATTATTCAATTATAAAAAACTGTTTTACCTATTTATTAGAACAATATTCTATTTAGTAAATTTATCCTATACATCAACAGATAGTAATTATATTTATGATTATAGTTTATTCGAAAGATTATTTACATTTTTTGTTAGTTTTGTTAAAACATCACATTGAATTATTTCACTTGAAATAAAATTAATCGGATACAATTGGTTTCGATTTTATACATTGAAATCGTGTGAGATCTTCGAAATGAAAGAATGGAAAAGTATGAAGAATCTAGGTTTTGATCGAAGCCAAGAATTGTTCTTTCATAAAATAATTTTAAACGAGTTGAAAACATTGAAAGAACAGTTATCAATTGACATACAAGACACAAATATGAAAAATATAAATTATATAAAGAATTCATTACACAACGTTGCTATAGAATGGTTCATCGTGGCAACAACTGGATATGGTTTATCATCAAACTTCGATTCTGAAATTTATATAAAACAATGGTTAATGTTTCTATTACGATGTATTCATAACTATGAACATGTACGATCATTCTGTGGTACTATGGACTACATTGAATTGTTATTGTACATTTATCAAAATACTCGAAATTCGACTACAAGTTTACTTGCCTTCAAAATTTTACATAAAATAATCATATTTTTCAATGATATTTTATTTTCAATCGGTGATTATTGTTGTTTACAAAACACAACAAATGAGATTATTACTGAATTGTTCTATATTTATCGTACGATAATTTCTTGTAAATCATCATGGTAACTTATGGCAATACAAACAATCAAAAATACAATAATATTGAATTTAGAATTATTTGAATCTATCAATTCGAATAAAATTAATTCTACTTTAGGATCATTATTTGTCGTAGGTGGATATATTCAACCAATTACGAGTCGATATTAATGTTTCTCTACCGAATCTACTTGATCTACCAAAAGCAAATGAAATGATCGATACATTTTTCGATAGACTAATGTATTTTATTGAAATCAATCAATCAAATATTGAACCGTTACTATTATTACAATTGAAACATCGATCATTTGCCACTTAATATCGATTATTAATGAATAAAAAACTTCTAGAAATTTTTATGAAAAAATCTTATGCTAGTGTAATAGTTAAATTATCAATATCGCGTTTAGTATTAAAGACTCATAGAAAACCCATGAATTGATGTCTATTGAATAAAAAACATTTCGAACAATATTGTTTAAGTTTAGATCATTGTCAGCAGTTTAAACAAATAATTGACGATACGAATATGATTAATAGAGAAAATTCTTTGTTTATTACTTGAAATAAGATTCCATTCAAACGAGATCGATTAACTATTGATCATCAACCGGGTGGATGGCAGCCGTACGCATCCAGAAGAGATATCGAGCTTTTCAAACGAGGTCGAATTGGAAATGATGAACTTAAAATCATTCCTATGCCATTCCAATCTAGTGGTTCATGGTTTTTAGAAGAATACGGTATGATGCATCGATTTTCAGGACGAATTTGTTTAGTTTCGGAAAATTCCAATACAATATTGGCAACATTCATTGTCGATAATTTACGCTTGAACGAAGGCAAATGGTACTAATGTGTTCGATTGTTAGAAAGTAATTCTCTTCAAATCGGCTGGACAACAATTGAATTCAATCCGAGTAGAACAATCGGAATTGGCAACGATAAATATTCTTAGTCATATGACGGATATCAATAGGTACTTTACAATACTGAAGCAGATCCGTTTCAAACCGAACATGTTCGTTGAAAAACGAATGATGTCTGCGGTTGTGGTATTGAAATAGATGGTCCAAATACTCGAATTAACTTGTGGTTAAATGGACACGTCTTAGGTACAGTTTTTGAACATAATTGTGCTATTGGCTCAAAATTATGCAATATGCTATCGAATGGATGTGATGCAAGTTATTTTCCAGGTGTTAGTTTAAAAGTAAATGACATTGTAACGTTGAATTCTTGTGAATTTATATTTAGTCTAGAAGACATGCTTGAATGTCCATTACCATTAGGCTATAAACCATTGTTGATAACGAACTGTGTCAATTTGGTAGCGTATCCTTATAATGCTTATTTGATTAGTGACAATGATCAAGACAATATTTATAAGGTACGAAGTAATCGATCAACTATTTTTTTATGTGATTTCGTCGATAGTCAACATTTGGAAACTGAATTTAGATTTGAGAATCAACAATTAGTTTTGCAACATGATAAAAATGGTTTATTACTGACCATCGATCATTGTGAATCATGGACAATAAGTTTCAATTTTCAACTTTTAGATAAATTTGATAATCATTATTTTATACTTTTAACATTTGATGATACATTGGAAACATTTTCCATTCGTATACCAACCAGTAAAATCTACAATGAGATACGAATAGGCATTGTTTACTATTCAAACAAACGAGAAATAAAAATCTATATTGATAACGACTATCAATTAGTTGAATGTCCATCAATGATATCATATAAAATTTATATTTTACCTTTGATCGTTGCTGGACTTGAAAATGTTGCCATTTGACAATATGCTCTATCAGAAAAAGATATTCAATGTCTATTTTCTACTGGTTTGTCGTATATCATTATCGATTATCGTTAATTACTTGACTATGGAAAAAAAGTAAAAACATTGACGTTTACAGATAAACAAGAATTTTTTGTCAATGAATTTCTCGTTGCCTTCAATGAGCCGTTGGATGAAAACAAATGAAAAAAGAAAAAACTGAAATTGATAATGATGAATGGAAATATTTTAAAACAATTGATGGAACTAATCGATCAACATTACAATTGTTTGGAAATAAAACTTATCTTATTTTACAGAAATCTTTTGACCCATGCTTCGAATATACAATTATTATCGATATTTTTATTGTCACTTTACTATCAGTAAATGAACAAATAACATTAATTACATTAAATTCACAAACTAAAATTTCTCTTACATACGATAATCATCTTTGTCTATCAATTGATTATGAAACAAATATGAAAACTGAATCAATGCTCAACTTCGATAACTATGTACGTTTGCTTATTTCAGTTCAAGAAAAATCAATGAAAATTTAGAACTTGAAATCTGTGTTGATGACAATCGATTGACGATCAATGATAAACACATATATCTGTTTCTAGAAGAAAATTTAACAAAAAATACGACTAATGAAGATCAACTTCGCATTGTTTGTAAATCGATTACTTATTTAAACAGAGAAATCATTAATATCGATAAACGAATGAAATCATCAAATTATTCATTAGAATATTTGGTTTCACTTCCATATTCTATCGTTGCACCGACGCTAATCGATATTGGATACGATGTATCGAAGATAAAATATGTTATACAACAAAACTAGGCCAAAAAATATTCAATCAATTGATACAATTCTTCGTGAAAACTATGAAGAATTAATTAGAATTCATTGTAAACAACAATTAAAATGTCAAATAAATCTTTTATCAAAAGTTGATTCATCAATCGATCAAGAAAAACTCAAAGATTTAATTCAATATTTCGAATGTGATACGAATGAAAAGATAGTTAGTCTCGATGAAATGATGCTTAATCATTTGAATGAAATTCCAAAATCATTCGACATGACAACTGAACTATCATCAGATTATAAATGGTTTTATCAGGTGATTTGCCGATTAAATAGGGTGAATGTGGGTGTGGTTGTTTTAATTAATCGAGAATTATTATTTAA